AGAGGAATTTTTTTTCTTCAGAAATTCATCTCATGTCCTCTATCAAGAGACCTTCATCTGGTACGAGCACTTTATCTCTATTTACAAACCTCATCAGGTTCTGTCCTGTAGTTTAAAGAAAAGTTACTTGTTGGCACTCGTGATTTTGTTGTAACTGGAAAAGGGATGTGATTGCCTTAGGGCCAAAGATCCAGTGTGAGGTTGCCACGGAAACAACTTAATGTAAATTTTATTTTCCAGTATGCCCAGCTGTTATTGGTCAGGAGGGAAGGAGGAAAGCTAGAAGCCATTTTCTCCAAAAAGGAAGAGAAAAACATTACTAGGGAAAGGCTGACAGATGAAGAGAAATCATTTTTCTGCTCAGGGAAAAGATAGTACAAAGGGTCATGATTCTGATGAGGTAGAGAATGCATGACTTAGAGCTTTCTTTCTGTTTTTCCTTCTGTCTATGGATGGAGATTGGGGTTGCGGGGGGAGGGGGGGGGAGTTAGGAGGAAAGAAAGAAAGGAACACAGCTAATTACCAGTAGCACTCCCATCTAAATGTATATAGTCCTCATGGCTGTGAGGACATCACTGGCCTGTAAGCAAATCCACGTGTAAGGGCGTTTGTTGTTAAGGTGTTTTCATGCTCCACAGAGATGTTTAGATATGCATCCTGGGACTTAAAGAGATGAAGAGTGAGTTACAAATACTTTCTATTCTATCCATAGCCCTAAGTCAAGGTTAAGCTCAGCAGTAATAAGTAATAGTTACGAATAGGTGATATCTGGCTGCTTATATGAAACTAATTTTGCAATAATTGCATATATTTTAATAGAATATATTATTATATAGAACATAACATTCTTCTAGTGTGTCATCGGTCTTTCTAAAAAAGCAAGGTTTCTCTATTCACTAACACACCTCTGCTAAGCTTTTGAGTCAGCAGCTGAGTCACCAGCCAGTTGACAGATGTTTAAGTGTCTAATGTTTGCCGGGCCCTGTGCTAGGCCTGCGGGTACAGAGTTCCTTCCCTCATGGATTTTATAATCTAGGAAGGGAGGCAAACAGTCAGTGAAAATTACATAATTGTGTTATAGGTCTGGGAAGTACTAGAAAGGACAAGTCCAGCAAAATAAAAGGATGAGCTTAAAATCAAGTACGAGAATGTCACTTGCTCAGAACATGAGTCCCAGAACTCCAATTCACATGCTTCCTGAATTCAGCAACTTAAAAAACAATTTTTTTTTTTTAGTATCCATTATGTGAAAGGTATAAAACAGACACGATCCTTGCCCTCAACAAGCTTGCACTCAAAGTAGGGAGACCGGTATGCATTAGTGACGTATTGTAGTTCTGTTATTAGCTAACAGTCATTGAGGCCTCCTTATGGACTAAGCACTGACATGTATTATCTCATTTAAACCTCACAACAACCTCATCATGTCAGTACTATCATTAACCCCATTTTTTTCATGGGGAAACATGAGTCACAAGTTGCTGAAATAACTTGGTCAAGGTTGCACAACTTGGAGTGGGGATTTGAACCCAGGTAGTGAGGTTCCAGAACCAACTACCAGGCCACTGTTTGCTGCCAATCAGGCCGTGTGAGCAGCTATTTGAACCTGTTTTGGGCAGAGGCAATTGGTCAGGAATTTGGAAATGGCATACTCTGGAAGTCGTGGGAACGGCCAGAATTCAGAACCGAAATCCCCAAGATCCAGAGTTGTAAAAAGAACCCTTTCCATTCCCCAGGGTTGGGGTTCATCTAGTCCCACCTCCTCCTTTTTCAGTTGAGCCACCTTTGGGGCCTGCTCTGAGGATGCTGAAGAGCTGAGAGTATTTAACAAGCCTAAAGTGCTGGAGGCGAGCAGGCCTGTGGGACGCCCATGTCAGCTGGGCACGTGCCAGGCCTGTTGGCAGGGCTGCAAGAAGAGAGCAGCCACCAAGCACATGTGGCCCTTGGAAATGGTCCCAGAAAAGGAGCCCCCAGGACAAGGGCATGGAGCTGACAAGCCTGGATTGGGACCTTGAGGCTTGCGGTTGTCAGTGACCCCTGAGTGACCTCAGGTACCACGCTGGGCCTCGGTTTCTTCTTCCGGCTATTCTCACTGCTCTACAAGATGATGTTTCCAAATTCCTGACCGATAGTCTAGGGTGAGGAAATAGAAACAAGGGCTGTGACCTTGCTCAGTCACACGGCCAAGGAGTGAGGAGCCTGGATGCCAACCCAGGCTTTCCTCCCACCTGTCAGGTCCTTCCCACGCTCGAAGGCCCGGGCCCCTGCGCTGAGTCAGAGGCCCAAAACAAGGAACCAGTTTGCTCTCTGATGGCTTCCCTAAACCAGTCCCATCACATACCACCTTCTCCCTGCCCCCTCCAGGCTACCCAGAGAGCTCCCTGAGGGCAGGATGAAGTAAGTACCATCCCATCACCCAGCCCAACCCTCCACTCGGCAGAATGGGTCTGCGATTGATGGATGCAACTATTTCCCTGAAAAATAATTAAAACCAAGTGGGCATTTGCAGCTTCGGCTGTTGGGGTGGCAAGTGCTGCCTCGGTTACTTCTGAAATAATTAATGGCTCTGCCTGTCTAATCTCACTTGAGGTGTGAAGAGCAGGAAAAAGGGGGTCACTGCCTCTGCCCCTTGAGGGACTTGGAGGGTTATTTTTATAACCTGGGCCTCAGAGCCTTTACCAAGACGGCCCCTCCTTTCCTGCTGTGCGGCCTCAAGATGGCAGGCGGTCTGCCTGGGTCTCACTGAACCGGCCAGACATGTCCTCCCCCGAACAGACAGCTCTAGACACGTTTTCCCTCACACTCAGGCTCACACGTTCTCACACAACAGCACTGTGCACGGCCCCTGCCCAGCCACACCCATGAGGGTGCACCAGGGGACACAGTAGAGCCAGAGGCAAGCTGGCACCCACTGTGCCTAAGGCCAGAGATCAGATGTCACATCTACCGTGTGCCAGGCTCCCCAGCAGCATCATTTCCTCTCACAACACCTTCATGGACAGGGGCTTTACCACTCTCACCCTATCTGCCAGATGGAAACACCGAGGCTTAGAGAGGATAAGTCACCTGTCCCATAGATAGTTTATGGCAAAGTCCGTGGGACCCTGGAGCTCTTAACCAGTAAATTAGTCCAGGAGAGCCAGCAGGCCAGTGGAAATCACGCCGGCTAGAAATTCCACTGGGAGTAACCATTGAGATTCAGGCCAGGCCTTCACACTATATGTGAGAGCAGAGTGTCACAGGGATGTATGTCACTGGGGAACAAAGCCACCAGCTATCGCCTCCTCCAAAAATAATGAAAATGTGGCTTTCAGGGGCCCAAGCAGCTGTCTAGGGCCATCCACCAGGCAGCCCTGGGCAGCTGGGAGAGCCTCTGCCCAGCAGCCTCCTTGAGGGCAGAGGCTGGCACTGGGTCCCAGGGGTCTCTGCTCCTTCCCCTGCTTGTGGCTCCCCTGCTCTGTTTCCTGACAGGCGAGCCTCAAATCCCATTAACATACTGGAGTGTCTGCGTGTTTCTCTTGTGTTGGGCAAAGGAGGTACTTGGGAGGCCCAGCCTGTTGGGTTAAACACCAGAGGACAAAGAAAGCAGTGTCTGTCCTCCCACTGTGGCCCAGGACGCCCAGAGAAGTAATAAGTGATATATCTGCATGGTCTGAGACACCAAGCGTCTGCATGGAAATCTCCCAGACCAGAGTCCTCAGCTCCAAATTAATGAAGCATGTGACAGAACAAACAAAAACCCTCCAACGAGGGCAGTTTATTTATTTTTAATTAGAAAATGTGTGCATGGTCGTCTGTAAAGAAAATTTTCCTTTTTTATGCGTAAATGAATACATGCGCATGTATGTCTCTATAGTGTTAGAGCTTTTATTTCTTCTGCTTTCTTTCTGTACAAAAAAATATTCTTTATTGTTCTGGAACATACTTTTTTCATTTTGTGGATAGCAGCCTCCTGGGCAGAGGCTGGCACTGGGTCCCGGGGTTCTCTGCTCCTTCCCCGCTTGTTGGCTCCCTGCTCTGTTTCCTGACAGGCGAGCCTCAAATCCCATTAACATACTGGAGTGTCTGCGTGTTTCTCTTGTGTTGGGCAAAGGAGGTACTTGGGAGGCCCAGCCTGTTGGGTTAAACACCAGAGGACAAAGAAAGCAGTGTCTGTCCTCCCACTGTGGCCCAGGACGCCCAGAGAAGTAATAAGTGATATATCTGCATGGTCTGAGACACCAAGCGTCTGCATGGAAATCTCCCAGACCAGAGTCCTCAGCTCCAAATTAATGAAGCATGTGACAGAACAAACAAAAACCCTCCAACGAGGGCAGTTTATTTATTTTTAATTAGAAAATGTGTGCATGGTCGTCTGTAAAGAAAATTTTCCTTTTTTATGCGTAAATGAATACATGCGCATGTATGTCTCTATAGTGTTAGAGCTTTTATTTCTTCTGCTTTCTTTCTGTACAAAAAAAATATTCTTTATTGTTCTGGAACATACTTTTTTCATTTTGTGGATACCTTTCCAATATATTTGGATGTGTCTATTCTTTTCATAAATCTAAAGGAGTTTTTTTTTGGGGGGGGGGGAGTGGTTAGTTCTTTTTATTTTACTTTATTTTTCCCATCACCACTTATTCCCTCTATGCCTCAAGTTTAATAAGTAATACACTCACATGGTTCAGAATTCCAAGCGTATTCAAAGATGAGCGTGCCTCCTACCCTTCTCCTCCAGGGCTGGCTCCCCAGAAGCGATCAGCAGTTCCTTCCTTGTGCATCCTTCCAGGGCTGTGGTGAGCAGGGCTGAGCAAATGTGAGCAGACCTCGTCCCTCCTGTGCCTTGCTTGTCTTCCACTTAATACCATGTGGAAGGTCATTCACATCCATATGCACCATTTTATTCTCTTTAGTCATTAATAATATTCTATGCTGGGTGTGTAGACCACCTTCCCTTCTTCCACCGATGGACCTTCCTCTTGCTTCCCCAGTGTCTGGCTTCTTGCTGTTCCAAAGAGCATGTCGGTGAGTCCCCTGCCTCTGCGTTCTCAAGCTTTTCTTCCCATCCGACGGACCCCTGGAAGTGGAATGGGTGGGTCAACAGGTATGCCTGCTTCACATGTTCATAGACAGGGCCAGGTTATTTTCCTGCGGGTTGTAGCAATTTGTGGCTCACCAGCACTTCCCCACATTTTAGTTAGTCTAACGTTTGCCAATCCGCTGAGAGAAAAAGAGCATGTCCTGGTTCTAATGTGCGCGTCCCTGGCTTCTCTGTGAGGTCGAACATCTTTTCAAAAGTGTTTTGGCCACTAGCGGTCTGTTTCTATGAGTTTGTCTGTCTCCTTAGCCCACTTTTCTAGTGGATTCTTGGTCTTATTCTTGTTTACTTCTTAGGACCGTTTTGGGTTTTTTTTTGTATTGTTTTAGGTGGAAATATTTTCCCCTAATTTGTTATTTTGACTTTGTTTAGAGTATCATGGGCCAGAGCGAGAAACATGTATTTTTTTGTGTGCAGTCCAATCTGTCAAGCATGATAATTATTTTAAGGAAGGGAAATTTATTTTAGCTTAAAAGAGAGACATTTTTAATTTAGGGAGTGTAATTTCCATGAGAATGCTGATTTTGCTTTGCTTGCCAGATGCTTTGCTATTCCAAGGAATGCAAGAGAGAAAATAACAGAAGTCAATCGATACATCGAAGCTTTGAACACTGCTTTGTTTCAAAGGACTCCCCAGCTCTAGGTGATGGTGACAATGATGATGATGATGAAACTGAGGAGGTGGGTAGCAGGTGAGATAGTCACCTGAAGTTACTGGTGGTTGTTTTATTACACTTATGGGGAGGCCTATTTGAGAATTAAGCTGATATAGTAAAAAATACAGCCTGGATTCAGCTAAACCTGAAGCGGTGCTCTCTTTAGGCTTTTTCAGTTATGTGAGCCAATAAGTACCTTCCACCTTTTTATTGCTTAGCTCAAAAGTCTTGACTAACAGTATGCTCACTAAGTATAAATTGAAAGAATAAATGCATTCTCAATATTTGCTACACTCTTTGGCATACAATAGGTCTTAATCAATCTATATCTAATGAAGTCCTCCAAGTGAGAGACAAGAAACCTTGTCTGTTTGGAAACAGACAGGACTAAGATAAAAAGTCTGAGATCTTATAAAAAAATTTTGGGCTCGCCCTAGCCGGTTTGACTCAGTGGATAGAGCATCAGCCTGTGGACTGAAGGGTTCCAGGTTCGATTCTGGCCAAGGGCACATGCCCAGGTTGCGGGCTCAATCCTCAGTGGGGGGCGTGCAGGAGGCAGCCAATCAATGATTCTCTCTTATCATTGATGTTTCTATCTCTCTCTCCCTCTTCCTTCCTCTTTGAAATCAATAAAGAAATATATTTATTTTTAAAAAAATTTTGGGCTCACATTTTCATATATTCAAGCCACTCATGGAAGCCATCAAGAACCAGAAAGGACCCTTGGCCAGTGTGGCTCAGTTGATTATCATCCCATGTACCAGAAGTTTGCCGGTTCTATTCTTGGTCAGGGCACATGACCAGGTTTGATTCCTGGTCCAGGTGCAGGCAACCAATCAATGTTCCTTTTTTTCTCTCTCCCTCTCCCTTCCTCTCTCTCTAAAAACAATTAAAACATATTTTTAAAAAAGAAGAGGAAGAACCAGAAAGGACCGGCCCTTTGTCAGTATCATACATCTCTAGGTGGTCTTGTTCCCTTGCATCTCTAGGTGGTCCTGTTCCCTTGTTCCCTTGAATGGGTCATCCAAACAAAAGGCTTTCCCCCTAGGTGTGCAAATGGATTTGGAGCCCATCACACTCGGGGTCAAACATTTGGTCTTCAATGAAACAATCCGCAGATAGGTGATCAAAGCACTACTATGTCTGATTTCCAGCACAACTCAAGCTAGGGACCATAGTTACAGTCTAGGCAGGGGGTGTTAACCTGGGTCCATGGACCCCCAACAGTTCCATGGACAGAATTTAGGCCAGTTATGGACTTAGGGAAAAATGACATCTGTTTTCACTATCTTCTATCTGAACGTTAGTATCACTTCAGTTACGAATGCAGGCAATAAACCAAATACTATTAGCAAATCCTGTGGCTTTGGCTCCAATAAAAGTCATAGATATTTTGGTATCATATTATCATTATTGCTGATATCTTAAAATATTGTTTATGATCATCACAACTTTGAAATTAGTCCAGATACCAAGACTTGTGATTTGATGTGTTAATAAAGAAACACTGTTATTATAATATTACTAGAAGAGGTCCAGTGCATGAAATTCATGCACAGGTAAGGTTCCTAGGCCTGGCCAGTGATCAGGACTAATCTGCAGGGTGACTGGCAGGGCGATAGGGGGGCCCCCGCTGGCACCTGCCTTGGCTGGTCTAGGGCCTGTGGGCTGGGGGAAGCTCCTGCGTTGAGTGTCTGCCCCCTGGTCGATTTGCATGTTAGGCTTTTATTATATAGGATGGATTAAAAATATATATTTTTTGACAACTGTATTTCATTATAATTCATTTCCTTTATAATCCTCTGTAGTTTATGCATTTATTTTTAAATATTTTTATTGATTTTTAGAGAAAGAGAAAGGGAGAGGAAGAAATAGAAACATCAATGAGAGAGAAACATTGATTGGCTGCCTCCTGCATGCCCGCAACCCAGGCATGTGCTCTGATGGGGAATTGAACCGGTGACTTCTTGGTGCATGGGTGGACACTCAATCACTGAGTCAAACCCGCCAGGCATATTTTATGCATTTAAAAACATGTTCTGCCCAGCTGGTGTGGCTCAGTTGTTGAGCGTCGACCTATGAACTACGAGGTACGGTTCGGTTACCAGTCGGGGCATATGCCAGGTTGTAGGTTCAGTCTCCAGTGTGAGGCATGCGGGAGGCAGACCATCAGTGATTCTCTCTCATCATTGATGTTTCTATCTCTCTATCCTTCTCCCTTTCTCTCTGAAATCTTTCTATATAATAAAAGCCTAAGTGACTGTTATGGTGGAACGACCAGAATGACCAGTTGCTATGATGCGCACTGACCACCAGCGGACAGACACTCAATGCAGGAGATGCCCCCTGGTGGTTAGTGTGCTCCCACAGGGGAAGTGCCAATCAGCCAGAAACTGGGCTCATGGCTGGTGAGCGCAGCGGAGTGGCAGGAGCCTCTCCCATCTCCGCTGCAGGCGAGCGGTAAGGAGCGAGGGGTCCTTGACTGTGAGAGCCCCAGACTGCAAGAGGGATGTCTGACTGCCAGGAATTGGGCCTAAGCCGGCAGGCTGACATCCCCTGAGGGGTCCTGGACTGCGAGAGGGCATAGGCCGGGCTGAGAGACCCCCACCCTCCAGTGCATGAATTTCGTGCACCGGGCCTCTAGTATATATATAAAAGCTGGACATAGCCCAGCACATGCCCAAGTCTTCCTCTCTTTGCCAGAGAACTACCTTCATCCTTAGCCCATAACGGTCCAGTCACGCAGTTCTGAGTGATGAGCAGGTGTTTGGGGATTTCTCCCTGACTCAGCTTTTCTTCTCAGGATAAGCTCTGGAGGCAGCCTGGTGCTGTCACTATGCATAATGTCCTAGATGGTCAGAGCCAGAGCATCCTCTAGACCTTATGCTATAAATGGAGAAACTGAGTCCCACAGGTTGTGTGGATTTCCTCCAGGGACACGGATTAGTTGCTGTCCTTCCTAGAATTTGTTTCATCTCTTCTCTGCATCCTTCCTACCTGAGAAGGAGAATGAAGGGTCCACCCTAGGCATTTCAGGGCAAATGACAGTGAGAAGTAACATAAGAGCCAACTCTCGAGCACTTAATCCTGCCTGGCCTCACGTGAAGAGCTGTATACACATCACCTCACTCCTCCCCACTCCAATCTAAGGAGGTACTACTATTCCCCTCTTACATCAGAGAAAGCCCCAGTCAGGGCCACAGACCTCGTCCAAAGTCACATGGCTAATAAGTGGCAGGGCCAGGGTTTGGCTCAGTGGATACTGAGCCTGTGTGCTTGTTCCACGATGCCATCCCAGAGCCCCTTCCGCTTCTCACGTTTATCAAGGTCCAACGACTCCGTAACTTTATGGTCTTGCTCTTGCATGGGGTCAGCATTGCCCCAGTTGGAGACCCCCACTCCCGCAGCCTCTCCCTAATACCTCACTGTGGCCTCACCCCTGCAGGCCTCACTGCCCATTGTCAAGAGTTCATGCCAGCTGCTGCTCCAACTGGAACCCAGGTCCAAGAGGCGCCCTGGCGCACCACTCTCGCTCTTTCTCTAGATGACAGGGCTGCATGGACCTGCTAATTGTGTTTGTATTTGGCCTGATTTATATTTGTGCTTAGCATGCATCCACACCCCCCGCCAGGAAAGCAGATGGGCACTTGTGCCTTCCAAAGACACATAATTAAGGCAATTTAGCATCTTCCTCAAAGGATGCTCTTCCTCCTCCTCCAGGAGGGAGGAAATGTCTTTGGAGCTCTTCAGAATGTTTGAGATTTATTTCTACTTTGCTCACAGCTGGTCCAATCTGGGGGGGACTAAGGAGGAAGAAAGGGGAAACATTTTTTTTGCCTAGGGCCTGGGGCACGAGGGGAGGAGGCACAGGGCAAGGGGAGGGGGAACTTTGGACTTTGCGAAGGTCTCTTTTCCTTCCAGAGCCTTCAGTGACTACATTTGTTCTGATAAAAGTATCAAAATAAAACAACAGCCCTGGCCGGTTTGGCTCAGTGGATAGAGGGTTGGCCTGTGGACTGAAGGGTCCCGGGTTCGATTCCAATCAGGGGCACATGCCCGGGTTTCGGGCTCGACCCCCAGTAGGAGGCGTGCAAGAGGCA